GGTTAAGGAATTTCTGACGATGACGTCTACGAGATGCGAGATGGTGACGACCTTGGAAGAAACTGGGCTTTCGGGACGTCCGGGAAAAAGAGAGGGGAAAAAAAGCCATTTTGACTTCTGATTATCTATATCTTCATGGTTGACGTACTGGATCGGAATACAAAGCCGTCTGAAGTATTTCATCTATGTTGTATATTCAATCTGGTTCACACTATACATAGTAACATACTAACATAGTCATAGTATAGTACGGAACGGGGACTATGAATTTACATGGTTGCCTGTAGGGAAAGTGGCTGAGTCCCCTAAAATAGGAGTAAAAACTAGAATATAAGATTCTTTTATTACGATCCCCTAATGAACATGATCCACTTGATCTGTGGCTCATACGAGAAAAAATAAAAGGGGGGGGGAATGATAGGCACAAGTCCTCCCCTGATCATCTAGTGATGAACAGTGCATGACGTCGGCATCTGGGGCAGATCAAAGACCTCTTTTACCTATATTGTACTCAGTACATGTACAATTTCTCCTCGGCTCATTCGGATTACTACGTATTCATTTCCTTCCGCTCATGCGTACCATATTTCCTTTTACGCTTTCCTATCGGCTGTTGTTGTAAACTTCAGATGTCCCGAGGTCCAGGGGAGTGAGCTGCTCGCCACCACGTGATATAGAGGTCGCCAAGATTCAAGAAATATCTATGAATGTCAATTGATATCAGGTACGTGAGGCACCAAACAATCCGAACTGCCATTTTTAAAAAAGAAATCCGAGGCATCGAGCTCTCATTTACAAGTCCCCCCTGAGCGAGCATCCAAGGTTCTCTATTCCACGTTATTGAGCCACTTTGCAGTGTGTCGCCTTTTGGGATTTGTCGCAACAATGTCGGATTTGTTGTCAAGTTCTTCGTCAGAGCTTTCTAGATCGATCCATGAATGCTGATACAAAGATTTTCGTTTGATGGATACCCTGCTAATCTGAACCAACCGAATATCTCGGCGGATCGCATCTGCCATAGTCACGGGGAAAGAGATCCACGAGGTCGAATAGCCTTGCAGATTGAAGGATGCAAAGGGGGAGAAGATTGTTGCAAAGGTGAAAGACAATGTCGGCTGGTAATGGAGGTAAGAATCCACAGTCATATGAGCCATTTGTGCAAATAAAGGCCAAAGCTCATTAGTTTAGGTGCATGAGATATCATGTATTCGACTTGTTTCGTGTAATAATACATCTAATGCAATATCACCTATTCTATTATGAAGGATGACAGATGAATTGAGAAAATGCAATTGCAAGTGCTTTGATCATAAAGCACAACTATGTTTGAAGACCACCTTGATGGTATCTTGATTAACATACTTCACCACAACGCTAGCTTCTGTGCATACCGCTAGCATACTCTGCTCTAAATCATAGGTCCCTGATGCAATTGTAATCATCAAGTAAAGTCTACATGTATCCTTATCAACCTTATTCAGTATTCTGTTAGACTATAGTCAATACCAAGAAGGGTGGGCTTGGTGCTCGGGCATGGGTCGTATATCCTATGTAAAATTGACAAAACCCCTCTCCAAGAATTTGGAATTATGACCGAGCCAGCGTTTCTACGTACGTTGATCGAATGGCGCCTTCTGCACAGCATTGACAATTAGTTATAGCCCAATAAGTCATAAACGACGTTATTAGGTATAGTTTCGTAATTACGTATAGTTTGCTATAGATTAGAAAGCTTATAATATAAACTATAAGTGCATAATATGTAGAAAACTCTTGTCCTCCTAGGAAGATAGAGGACTAATTAGTCCGAAGACAGGATGGATCAAGGTAAATGCTAAGCTAGACTACTTGGACTACATGTTGTTCGCACAAAAGACAAAAAAAAATAGTCGCGCCCGGGATCGAACCGGGAACCTTCTCGGACCTTATTGTGAGCGAGACGCCATGACCATTAGGCCACGCGACTTGATTATTAATATTAATCGCAGGAAATGAAGTCATCAATGAAACGAGCGTCAAAGGGACGAAAACACAAAACTCCAGGCTTTTCAACTCTATGGAACACAGGAATATTCGGCCGCGTTTGCGCTTGTGATGTCTTGAGGCTAGTCCTTTATTTTTCATAGATATCTTCTCCTCTTCTTAATTTCATATATAGACCGCAGAGAAAGGCGGAAAGTGGGTTTAGTTTGTGGAATAGATTTTTCTGAATGAACTCTAATGAGGATTAAGCAGTCTTCCCTCATAGGGGCAAAAAGAAACACGAACATCATCACTAGTCGCGTGGCCTAATGGTCATGGCGTCTCGCTCACAATAAGGTCCGAGAAGGTTCCCGGTTCGATCCCGGGCGCGACTATTTTTTTGGGGCCACATCTAGAAGTTGCCCACGGAGTACACTTCATATCTGTTAACCTTTTGATGCCTTTTTAGATATCGTTTTTTATAGATATTTCGCCGCCCTTTTCAGTCTCATAGATTGATGGTAGAGGAAGGCGGAGAAAGCCTTAATTTGTGAAATGGCCTTTTCCAAGTATAAGCTTTGATCTCCAAAGAAAATCTATTCTACGGTTAACTATAACATACTACAACATAAAAACCCTAATACATCAATAGAATGAATAGCATTTAGCACAACTACCTATAAGCTTAAGCCTAACAATCGTCCGAATGATTAGGAGAGTATATAAGTAGTCCATTCCTACTTAGATGTCTTCTTTCTCTCCTTTCCTCTCCCTGAGTAGCTTTCAGGCCTTAATGAGGTAGTTACAGGACTCCGGGCCATGCGAAGGCCGTTTTCGAACTAGACGTCACCCATTCAGGGAGTAATTTGCGGCGAAAATATTAATAATCAAGTCGCGTGGCCTAATGGTCATGGCGTCTCGCTCACAATAAGGTCCGAGAAGGTTCCCGGTTCGATCCCGGGCGCGACTATGTTTTTGCTGGTCTTATCTAGCATGCTAGGTAGGGCGCATTGCCATTGTGAGAGAAGAAACAAGGGAGAACGTGTTCACGCAAGTATTTTTTTTATGCGAATCCTAGTAGGCGATGAGCGCGAGTAAGCGTTAGAGAGTAGAAGCAATTAGACACTGAGTTCCCAGGAACGGCCATAGAGCAAAAAGCGCTAGTCGTCGAAGGGAGTGAAAGAAAGAACGAAGGGCCGACGTCGGGCAGTCGGAGTATCGGGGGTGAGCGATCAAGGTGATCAGGTTGCTTAGGGAGCAGCTTAAACTCAAGGCTAGGCTCCAGGCCAATCGCTTCAGCAGGCGACAGTGTTACCGTCACCTTTTTTACATAAAAAAATCTAGCATTCAATGTGATTGTATACTAGTCTGGGAAGCATTTTGAAGTCTTTCACTCGTTTTGATATACACTGGCTCTCATTGGCTCCCGGGTGGTCCGGGGGTATCCCCTCATTTTGGAGTATTGTTGAACACCAGAGTGGTACATGTCCGCTTCAAGATCAATTGATGCTGAGTCCCATGCGATGATCCTATGGGTCTTGTAGGTTGTATGTGATTAAGTGCCCTGGACTACCATGTAGGTATCCAAGGCCAAGTATACCTATGATTGCAAAATCCTATATTGGTCCAAACTTGAAATGTGTATTGTTTTGAATTTCCTGGAGGCTAAAGAAAACCATATCGGATGGGCGTGTCCATGCGACAGGCGGTGTGATATGGGGGTAGGGGGGTAATTTACACAAAGCAAAGCGAAAAGGCGGATTGAGAAGAATGCAGGCTTATGATGCAGGAACTGGGGATGTGGGAACCTCAATGCCGTAAGCCTCCTTGATACGCTCCCGGCGTCTCTCTTCGTAGCCAGGGCCGTAGATACCTAATGAGATTAGTACCGGTAGACAATATTGCTACCCAGATAAGAAGCACATACCACGTCCTTCGCCCAATTCCGAGATAGTCTGCTCTCCTGGAGTTTGGAATGCCTTGCGCAACGCCGTCCGGCGGTCGAACTCGTCCACGGATGTATCCTTCTTGTATCCAAACAGGGAGCCGCCGGTGTACTCGAAGCCGGTCATGGCGGACGACAGGGCAATACCATATCCGAGCACAGCGGGGAGTGTGCGAACTAAGGTAAACCGGATTATTAGCTCCAAATACATGACCATAGACTCAATTAAATTCAGAACTCACCTCGGAGACCGAGAATGGCCCCTGAGAAGAAGCCACCCAGAGCGACGTTGTAGTGGTCCTCCTTCTCGCGCAGGTTGGCGGAAGCGGTCTTGATGAACTCATAGGTACCACCCATGGCCGCTGTAACATGTCTAGTTTAGCAATTGATCCATTAATTTATATGTAAAGAAGCTCATACCAAAAGTAGTAATGATACCACCGCCACGGACGAAGACGCCCAGAGTTCCGACGTTCTGTTTGGTGAGCGTGTTCTGCACAGCGGCTGCGAAGAGGCCGACGCTTCCGGTGAGCGCGGTGGCCTTCATGGCTGCCGAAATGGCATCCTTAGGGTGATAGCTGTGATCTTCGTCGTGGTGCGCCATGATGTGTGTGTGTGATAGCAGGGATGGACTGCTTGCGGTATAGGATGTGGTTGGCGTTAGGATTTTGGAGTCAGCTTTCTGCCATACCTGACCGCTACCGCCCGCCATTCCAACGGAGCTCTACATGATGATGTTGATGCTTCTTTCACATCGAACGCTTTGATTCATTTGTTCTTATCGGGAAATCCTCTTAGATACTGCTTGCTGTTTTCTAAGAGTGGATCTTGATCTCAAAACTGACCATTTGGTGGAAGAGAGAGTTCCAAAGCTTGCCATTGCTTGCTGCCAAGTGCAGTGGGCTCCCCGCTGTCTCTCCGCATACAGTGGCGATTCCATCATCTGACAATATTGTCATCACGGCCGAGTGGTTACATTGCGCGCTTTTGTTGCCTTTAATGAGAATCAACCCTTCAGGAGACCCAACTCTCCCATAGCATCAACACGAAGATCCGAACTGTGTGAGGCCTGTAGCCCCGAACACCGTACTTCATGGCGTCTGTAAAGAGGGCCGGTAAGGCAATAGCCTAGATCAGCAAATTTGAAATACAATGTGAGCAACTGCTTACAACTTTTTCTATCAATCATACAGGAAAGACCGCGCCGCGTCTGATTCACGATGTCCAGCTGTATGATCCAGCACACGATCCAGACACCGGCCGTAATCTCCTCTCAGAAACTCCGCCCATTTACCCCGAAGGCTACAACGGCCCTCCTGGATTCATATCACCGGAAGCATGTCGACACGAATACGTCTTGAAAGAAGATCAAACGTTCATGTCAGAGCCAGAGCACCGGAGAAGGCCAGGCACATCGTCCAAGGTTTCGGCCATATGCACAAAGTGCCGTTATCACCTTCAAGTGGTGGTCAACTACACCAGCCACATGGGCGCACTTGGTCAGAACCAGGGGAAACACTTGCATCATTTGGTCTACAAATCAGGACGGCAAAAGAATGGCCTTACGTTGCCCGAAGAAACTGCCAAAGGGCAGGTTGCGGAGACGTACCACTACCAATGTTCTTACATTTCATGCTCGGCTATGGTTTCTTTGCGGATTCTTTCACCGATCCTGAGCCCGGAATTCATCCGCTTGATGACTGATAAAGAGTTGTTGCGGAAAAGAGCTGAAGAGGCCGCTGCAGCGTATCCTGAGTCCATGGAAGGCATGGGTGATCCGCACCCGATCAATGTATTGGATAATCTGCGCCTGTACATTACCAACGCCCTACGAAATCCACAACGCAGCAAGCCCATCTCCTCCGTTAATAAGAGATTCATGCACTCTTTCGGCGTGGAAGGTGCTGCTTGTAAAGACTTACTCGAATTTCTAGAGTTCATGTACAATAAGGTTTGTAATAAAGATATTCTTTTTCCGAATTGTCTACTGTCTCGTTTTGTCTCGTGTCGCTGACGAATCGACTCAGGAGACCGGGGCATGGCTCCCGCCTAAACCGACCTCCAGTCCAGAGAAACCTTACCAAGACACGCTGCGTCTCTTTCTTGACGACCTGGTGCATGAATTGCTAGTCCTGATACATCTCAGATCTGTTTCAGAAAGAAAAGGGTCCCAGATTCCCGATCTTCCTTGCTCCGCCATCCCCGTTTTTTCCTGCGCTCTGGAGGCGCAAGACTGTTCGTACCTTGTGCCCCTCAACCCTAGGAAACTCGACCTAACTCCTGCTCCAGATCCGACAGCCATGCGTTATCAGGAATTTGAGATGGCTCATGCTCCGTCTGTACACCCTAATCTCAAATGAATAAGACTGGATCTAACACATGTTTCTTTAGTTTCTACGAAGACCTGGGAGTTATGGAAGATATGTCCTCATTGGCTGTGGTCGAAGCATACAATCGACAGGTCTCAGCCGATTCTGGTAGGACCCCGATGTACTTGTCTGCTCTCAAGGCTATCGGCTTTCTGCGTGGTGGCCAAGACAAGGTAGTCATCGACATAGCTGTCCAGACAGCTTATGAACAAGGAAAGTACGCCGTTGAAGATGTTGTCAACGCATATCAATACTTTAATCTCTACCTCGATGACCCTCACCTCACTGAGGATAGCATTATTGGCAAATTCTATGCCTTCCTTAGCTCTACAACGCAAGATACCGAAGCGCGTCAGCAGTTATGGCGGATTGGTGACTCCAGGGGAAGCGCACGCATCAAGGCGGCATCAGAAGACCGTGCGTTGATCCAGTCATGTCGTCTTCAAAATCGAAATGCATGCTAATGATAATAGGTGTTTCTACGGTTGAACAAGCGAATGTCTTCTTGGGGGTCGAGGATCAGACTCCGGATGATTTTGTCATGACTATGTACACCGCAAAGGTGTGTTTTCCGATTGCTCCATTTGTGAGTTGGACGCGAGCTAACAATGTTATTATTAGGTCAATGACAATCCACTTACCAAGGAACTGGCGAAACGCGCTGTGGCACTCATTGCCGAGTCCCGCAAATCGGTGGCATTAAATCATTTCATCAATACTGGAGAGATGATCGCTGGTGAAATGGACATTGGTGATGCCTACCGTTTACTCCAAATACCCGATCGAACTGTCGACGATGGGGCAATCATAGCCGCTTATACAATCTGCATCGATGAAAACCCAGGGGATGCCGAGAGATACAATCAGGCTCTGACAATTATTGCCAAACAACTGGACAGCTCTACGTTGAGGAATATGGCAGGTATCTCCAATGAGCCTGATAGAAGCATGCAGGATTGGCCAGTTGGACTACAAAACATCGGCAATACATGTTATCTCAACAGCCTGTTGCAGTTCTATTTCTCCATCCGTCCTTTCCGTGAGTTGGTTTTGGAGTTCGAACGCTTCCAAATGGATCTTAATGACGAGGAAAACCTCGCAAAGAAACAAGTGGGCTCGCGAAAGGTGACGAAAAAGGAGGTCGAGCGATCACAGCGATGTATGTTGCTTTGTTGACACCGATGGCTATATCTCTCAAACTGACTCTTTCATTTGCAGTCCTTAATGAGCTCCGGATTTTGTTCCGTAGCATGATCACTTCGTCCCAAATCTCGGTTACTCCCGGCCAGGAACTGGCTCGATTGACCCTGATTAGCCCAAGCAACGAGGCCGCAATTCGTCGTCGATCAACTACCACCGCTACTAGATCCGAGATGCTTGGTGACATCGAAGGTGCCCCTGTTCTGGGACCCCTTGGACCCCCACAGCCCCTTCTCGGGGGTCGGATGGAGGCGGTTCCATCTTCTAGCCAAGATGATCCCGTACCTATTCAAAATTCGACCGGCAGCGATCATGGAAGCGATGCAACATTGGTCTCGGATGATAGCATGAACGATGCACCTGGACTTTTTATCGAGGACAAGGAGAACAACCCCCCTGACTTGGACCAACTGTCGGATCAAGCAGAGCCAGGATCTCCCCAGGACATGAATATCGACCCAGACGACAGTTTATCGGCCAACCTACCGCCGCCCGTCCCTCCTCGCAACATCCCGCAAGTTGATCGGGAAAAGCAATTGAAGGAGGAGGTGGAAATTGGTGCCCAGCAAGATGTGACAGAAGTCATCAACAATGTTCTGTTCCAGAGCCAGTGCGCCATCAAGCCTCGAGGCATTGGCAGTGATGGGGAACAGCTTGACCAGATCAAAGAGTAAGTCATGAACAATCGTCCACTAGAGTACCTATGCTGACCCTCATAATTAGCTTGTTCTATGGTCAGACCCGCTCTTACATCTCCACCGAGAAAGGCACACGCTCGAAGGACGAACGGTGGTGTGACATCAAGGTTGATGTTGCTCATGGATCTCGAAATATCTACGATGCTATCGATGGGGCATTTGACATCCAAAAGATTAGTGTGGATAACTCTGTGGCCGAGCAATTCGCTTCCATCAGTCAGCTTCCGCCTGTTCTCCAGATTCAGGTGCAACGGGTTCAGTTTGATCCTGTGAAGAAATGCTCGTTCAAATCTACAAACCATCTCGGATTGCTTGAAACTATCTACATGGATCGATACATGGACACCAAGAATCCGGATGTTGTGGATCGGCGAAATCAATGTTGGGAGTGGAAAGCGTCTCTGAAGAGGCTCGAGGCTCGCCGAGAGGAGCTTCTCAGGACAAAGGTATCGAACATTCTCAGCCAATGTGTCCCAGGTCTACATAGCTAACCTTTCTCTTTTCTGCAGGATGGTGCTGGCGTCGACATGGCAACATTGTTCCGTAGAGTCAAAACCGCGCTACAAGATGTGGACTCCTTTGAAAACGACACTGAGACCGGAGCCGAGGTCGGATCCGATTCCATGAATGTTGTGGCTGGTACTGGATTACTGGACGAACTTGAGTCCCTGGCCCACAAGGCAGAGACCGACTTGCAAGGTAAGAGTTTAAGCGACACGAGCTCACATAAATCAGGCATGTTGACTCGTTTTATAGCTGTCGACCAAGAAATCAAGGACACGCAGACCATGATTTCCAGCCAATTTGCCGATTTCAACAACCTCCCATATCGACTGTACGCTGTTTTTGTGCATCATGGGTCGGTCTCATTTGGCCATTACTACATCTACATCTTCGACTTTGACAAGAAGATATGGCGCAAATACAATGACGAGTACGTCACCGAGGTCCAGAACGTGGATGAGATCTTCAAGAACGACTCGACCAGCAACCCCCCGACCCCGTATTTCCTTGTTTATGTCAATGATGGCATGAAAGACCGTCTGGCGAACCCGGTCTGCCGTGAGGTATTCGAAAATATGCCCAACCTTCCCGATTTAGACCAAGCCACGGCCATGGAGGGTGTTCAGCCCACCAGCCCTGCGCCGGACGTGAATATGGAACCTCCATCCTATGAGGAAGCGTCAACCATCAATGGAACTCCAGGTACGGGAAACTTAGAATCCGATGCGGAGACCACCACATTGCCCCGTCCTCGTCCTGCGACTGACTCGGAGTAGTATTGGTAGATTCCAATATCACGCCCGTCGATGCGGAAGCCGTCAACCCTCTAAAACGCAAGAGTGTTGATGATGTGAAACCAACCCGTCCGACTTAATTTCTTACATTGTGTGGCACCCACCTGGACAACATGATAACATGATTGCATGATTTCTCGATTCTCTTATGTCTGCACATGGATATTACTGCATTGCGAGGTGTGAAATGTTTTTGTTATCCAGCATGTACATACGCTGAAGATACCATGGAGTACTTGTAGAGAAGATAGTTACAATTGATCTTCTCTCTTATGTTTGACCTTCCTAGTAGTTAAGCTTGCAGGTATCTAAGTTGTGTACTTGGTTTACTTTGTTGTACCCCGGATAAACTTATCAGGTGACCATGTACTGACTCAGCACTTCCGATTTCCCACCTGGGCCAGCCGCGGGAATCGGATACGGATCGGCTGTGGATTTCGGCAGCGGCAAGAAGATAAAGTAAAACCGCCTAGAGGAGATTTTGGAGGTAATGAGTAGCAAAAAAAGAATGAAATTTATGGAGAATTTGACAGTACTTGGTCTAGGATATTTTCAATAGTTAATCACCAAATTCAGGGGCTCCGAGGCTAAGTGTATTGAGATCAGGGCAATTGTAGTAGGCGGGAGAGAGCCGGGAATCCACATTTCCGGGGAAACGAATATCACTCGGGAATGATTCCGCTCTCACTGCCGTCCGGGAATATAAGAAGTGGCTATTGCCGCTGCCACGGGCGGTTGATCTTTTTATAAGTTGCTGTGCACTTGGGACTTTTTTTTAATATTAACATCCAATCTCTAATTTGGAAGTCATTCACGATGCCTTCTCAAGTGGCAACATGTCTGCGCCTCGCGCGTCAGTTCTCGGCCAATCCAGCCCAGGTAAGTGATTTGCTTATAGCTCATATTGCCCATGTCGCTTTTTGAGTCGCGAAGACTGACATGTCTTGCCTCTTACCAGCACCAACGTTTCATGGCCCGCGCATTCTCCAGCAGTGTCCGCCGAAGTGAGATCAACAAGGTGTACCCTTCCGCCGAACTAGCAGTTAAGGACATGAAGTCCAACTCGACTCTGCTCGCCGGTGGATTCGGGTTGTCTGGTGTACCTGACTCTCTGATCAACGCTGTTCTGGAGAACCCCTCCATCACTGGCCTAACTGTGGCCAGTAACAACGCCGGTGTGGACGGAGCTGGTCTCGGTCTGCTCCTCAAGTCCAAGCAGATCAAGAAGATGATTGCTTCTTACGTCGGCGAGAACAAGACCTTCGAGCGCATGTACCTCACTGGTGAGATCGAGTTGGAGCTCACTCCCCAGGGAACTCTTGCTGAGCGGTGCCGTTCCGGCGGTGCGGGCATCCCCGCGTTCTACACACCCGCCGCCTTCGGTACCGTGGTGCAGACTGGTGCGGTGCCTCTGCGACACAATGCCGACGGCACAGTCGCGAAGTTCAGCGAGCCGCGCGACACCAAGGTGTTCGACGGCAAGAGCTACGTCATGGAAGAGTCAATCAAGGGTGACTACGCTTTCGTCAAGGCCTGGAAGGCCGACAAGCTTGGTAACTGCCAGTTCCGCTACGCGGCCGCCAACTTCAACGGTGCTATGGGCCGTAACGCCAAGATGACCATCGTCGAGGCTGAGCACATCGTCGAGCCCGGCGAGATCGATCCCGCTGCCGTCCACCTGCCCGGTATCTACGTCAAGCGTGTTATCCAGAGCACCACCCCCAAGCAGATCGAGAAGTTCACCTTCGCCAAGGAGGAGGGCGCTGACACCTCTGCTCTCGGTAAGGGTGATACCGCCAACAAGCGCGAGCGTATCGTCCGCCGTGCCGCTAAGGAGTTCAAGAACGGCATGTACGCCAACCTCGGTATTGGTATGCCCATGCTTGCTCCCAGCTTCGTCGACCCCTCCGTCGAGGTGACCCTGCAGTCCGAGAACGGTATTCTCGGTCTCGGCCCTTACCCCAAGCAGGGTGAGGAGGATGCCGATCTCATCAACGCCGGCAAGGAGACTGTCACTCTCAAGCCCGGTGCCAGCTGCTTTGGCAGCGACGAGTCCTTCGGCATGATCCGCTCCGGCCGCATTGACCTGACCATCCTCGGTGCCATGCAGGTCAGCGCCAAGGGTGACTTGGCCAACTGTATGTTTTCTCACGCTTCCTCCGTTCTATGCATATAACTAACATTCTCTCGCAGGGATGCTCCCCGGTAAGATCAAGGGCTTCGGCGGTGCCATGGACTTGGTCTCCAACCCCTCCGCCACCAAGGTCGTCGTGACCATGGAACACACCGACAAGAAGGGTAACGCCAAGATTGTCAAGAACTGCGAGTTCCCTCTGACCGGCCCTGCCTGCGTCAGCCGCATCATTACTGACCTGTGCGTCTTCGACGTTGACTTCTCCCACGGCCTGACTCTTATTGAGATCGCCGACGGTGTCACCGTCGAGGAGGTCCAGGCTAAGACCGACGCCCCCTTCAAGGTCGCCGATGACCTGAAGCCCATGCTTTAAATTCGCATGCAAACTGTATGATTCTTTAAGCGTTTTGTATATAGCAATTAGGAGTTAGTTTGTTTCAAAATTCATTCCCATGGACATATCCTGGATATGCATCAAGAAGAACATTGCTCTGAACAAATCTCGTACATTTGAGTAGAAAAGATAGTAGGTATACAATAAACAAAAAGAAAGAAAAAAGGTATTGGTACATGTCATGCAACCCATCAAATAAAAACCCCATAATGCTGACCCAAATCCAGTGAGACAATGATAAATCAAGTTTTCCCAAGTCTTCCAACGTCAAAAAACCAAAAGTCTATACATACAGCAAGGAAGCATCACGTCAAGCGGATAATACCGGCCAACCTCTTTTTTACCCGGCCAAACCAATCACGGTTCGGCGCCTCCGCGAACTCACGTACGACATTGTCATAGTGGTCTGGGTTACTGGCCGGCCGGCGCAGCTTCTCTGGCATGGGGTATTTGCGCGCGTAGCGGTTGTTCAGCAGCGATTCAAGTGCATTCACGGAGGACTCGGAGATTGCTGGGCTGGACTTGTCTGCTGGTTGGAGACGGGATTGGATGTAGGATTGGACGGAGACCGAGGCTGGGCGCACTGCGTCCGAGGGCCAGTGCTTGAGGATGTGGGTGAGGCGGCTTTGGAGGGAGCGCGGGCTAAGGGTCTGGATGGGTTGTTAGGAGATTGTTTGGGATTGAACGTTTGGGGGGTGGTGGATGTTGTTGTAGGGGATAATTCAGATGTTGAATTAGATACTCACAGGTGCTTTAGCCATGGTGGACAAGAGATATCACAAGATAATTGTGGTATAGGGGAAGGATCTTCCTTTGGAAGTTGAGGCGAGGACGGGAACAGTCTATTTCGGCCTGGCGCATAAGGCATCATCAGCCACATCCATTCCTGTTGCCTTCTCATCAACCCCGACGTTTTCTCATCCCCTTGTACTCTTGTTGTATCATTTTTACTTTCTGAACTAAGTTGTTTCTGTCTCATTTTCTTTTCTGATTCTATCCAGGGTCGCTTCCCGCTCAGCTCGCCATGAGCTCGCAGCGTTATTCACGGGTACGCAATTCCCCGCTGATCCCCTATCAGAACAAGCCCGCCCGGATGGGATCTCTCGACAAGACACTGACCACTACATATATAGGTGAATGCCCAGGATGAAGAGGAAGGACCACATTCCTATCCGCTGAACGCGCGACCCGGACACAACACCTCTTCGCCTTCCTCGTTCCATTCCCGGTCCCGCTCATCGTCACCATCGTCGAGGCGGCTATTACACAACGATCCACAACACAACGATGACGAACAGACGCTAGCCGATGCCTTCGGCGACGAAGACGAGTCCGACGATGATAATGAACCGGATGATAGGCAGCGCTTGATGCGAGCCGACCCCGACTTCCGGGCTCCCCCGGATAATGGCCATACCGCCACGGCGTCCTCGTCGGAGTCGAGGATCGATGTACAGGATCAGGTTCAACCGGCGCTTCTGAGGCGGCCGACTATGCTACCAACTTTCACGCCACCGGGCTCTGGAGGCAGTCGGCAGATCGCCTCATCGAATGATGGAGTCTTTGCCAATCTTGCTGCCAAGCCAGAACGGGGTGAGAAGAACGACGATCTTCCTCCTGTAAGTTGATAATTGGTTCTTCTCATATATCTGAAAGACTTGTGTGCTAATATCTTATTTAGTCATACGAAGAAGCCGCCGCTGATGCGACACCGCCATACTGGGAGACTACCATTGTGGCTCCTGGTATCTCTTCCGATGAGGTCTATGTCGACGGACTGCCCGTTGGATCTGTTTTCTCATTTGTCTGGAACGCCATGATCTCAATGTCATTCCAGCTTGTTGGCTTCTTGCTGACTTATCTTCTTCACACTACCCATGCCGCAAAGAATGGCAGCCGAGCGGGTCTCGGTCTTACTCTTGTCCAATATGGCTTTTATATGAAAGGCGGCAGCGACAGTTCGAGCTCCGACCCTGGAAGCTCGGAATATGTCCCTCCACCTGACCCCAACAGCCACAACTTCGACCCTGACTCAGTTGGTGAGGGCAGTGGCCCTGGAGGAAGCGGCGCCATATCTGGCATCACCACCAGTGAATGGATCTCATATATTCTCATGATTGTTGGTTGGTTCATTTTAATCCGTGCGGTCAGTGATTTCCTGCGGGCGCGACGTCATGAACAGCTTGTGTTGCAGAGCCCGGATCGTGGTCTGGGCGTACCAGTCATTGCAGAAGGTGAACGGTCCGAGACTGTTGTCTAATATCGGGTATACATGGAATTTTCACTTGGTTGTGTTTTTTTTTGGGATGTGGACATGGACATGGACATGGAAATGTCTGGCGTTGCAGCATGGAGTTTCTTTTTTGTATCGACACCCCCCAGGAGTACTGCCTCCGGATTGCATTCTTTCTATTTTTCTTTTCCTTTTTTTTATCAGACCTTCTACTTTTATTTCTGGCCGTGTAGCTATTCTGGAGATACCAAATATATGAACAATGGGCAGCAATACCAGTTGTTATACGTATGTAGTGGGAAGCTCAATACTCCTCAGTCGAGTCTTCTCCCAGAATGCCACTAACCACTTCAGCAGCTTTTGTAACTACCACCTGAATTTCCTCGTTTAAGATTCCCTTCATACTTGAAGCCCACGGCCTCTGCCCCCACAATACCCACCGCTCCCGCATCAACCCATGCTCTTTCAGCCACAGTTCCGTCCTATCATCTAACGCCGGCCCCCAGTGCCGCAGTCCATCTCCCACAGTGCCTAGCCCCCATATCGCATCCAGGTCGCTGCTACCCGGACATCCAGCGCCCACAACTGCTCCGGCGACATCCTATGCGCTTTTAGTGGACGGGACTGAGGTCTACCACGCTCTAGCACGCTCTAGCACGTCACGGCACGCAAAGAAAACCCATATAGGATGCACGCTGACTTTACCTTTCGTCACTCTTTAGAAGCGCAGCCGAGAATGCGCAGAACCGGAGAAAGTACTCGCTACCGCTGCTACTTAACGTACTAATGGTAGAGTTCTCCATACCCGAATCACGCACACCGTCCTACTCGCGCCAGGCCTCGAGGATATCATGCACGTCGCACCACTGCGCGCTAAACCGCGGCAGTGTCTGGCAGTATAGCTTTCCGTCGGCACCGGTGTAGCTGCGCGCATTGGACCCCACGCGTACGTTAAGCTGCGTCGGTGGGTGCGCATGTAGAGCGCCGAGGAGGGCAAGGTGAGGCTCGTTTGAAGTTGAAAAGGTGGCGACGGCTGTAAAAAAAAAAAAAAGCCGCCCCAGAGCTTCCAGGGCGCGTGAGCTACGTCTGAAGAGGTAGTCACAGAGTTGACAAGCTAGGCCGCTGTCTCGTCTAGCGTTAATGCCGGGGAATGGTTGCTAGGGGTGAGAAGGGTATGGATTCCACTGGAGAAGGGATTTGGGGGATTGCTGCCCGGGATGTCCAACATAGTTGTCATTTCAGATGAGATGGAAGATGGTGTGAATGGTGCCGGCCTTTGGTGGGTTCATCTCAGCCATGGGCGTCTTTTTTGGCGTTTGGCGACCATTTCCAGCCACAGCAGCGGTAATTTTCGGCGTCAATTGCACTGGTGACCACAGAATCTACCCACAAGAATGTAGATTGAAGGGTAGATCCCAACGTAATCGAGGCCCAAGGTTTAATGCCCACGCGTACTGCGCCACGATAGGCAGCATCATAACCTTGCTCTTTGCCCTCGCCTCCCTTTGTTTCTCTGGCCTGTGCAACTTCACCCCACTGTTGGACAGAAAAGAGAAAAGAGAACAGAAAAGCGAACAGAAATAGACCAGGCACCCCTTCCTCCGGCGGAAGGACCACTCCGCCCACTGCCGAGAGACCCATTGTTTATTTGCCAACCTCAACACGACATAACCTTTGTCTTTCGATATTTTACCTGCGTTTCTTGTCGGGGTGGATCGCGGCCTTGTCCGCAATGTCTACCGTCCCTCAGGGCCCCGTTGAGGCACGATCACTGTCGTCGGTCACCAATATCGCATCGAATCCCCCCGCCTACCCACGAAATCCCACCCACGAGAAGCACGAACCACTATCTCTCTACATTGTGCGTGTGCCAGGAAGCAAAGGTATGATTCAATTACACTATCTTGACACTCGCCCTGTATCTTTCGGTCTTGAAAGTCCCATAGCTGCGCGTTACTGTGCTTCGACAGTCAAATGAAGATAAACCATAACTGACTGCTATTTATGTATGCAGACATTTTCCTCTCACCTCTCAAACCTCCGACGAAATCCAGTGTCTCTGCTGAGGCAATTAACGCCTCTCTCTACTACCTCCATGTCGCGACTCCCGACGATGATACCCTGCTCCAGGAAGTGGAGGAAGAGCGCGAAGAGCAAGCCAAATTGCGCAAGGAGGCCCTCGAGAAAGCGGGCGTCGATGACCCAGCACAACGCGAGTTTGCGCGGCTGAACAACGTGCGCCGGAAACCAGTTGGGGGAGGAGGGGACCTTAACCCCGGGCCTTTGCTGGCACCGCCTCAACAGGATGCTACTGCTCCGCCCGCCTTGCCATCACGTACAATCCCTGTGCTGCAGGATGCCACTGCTTCTCCGACCTTGCCACCACGGCCAATTCCTATGCCGCAGGTTACTGCGGAGAATGTATCTTTCGCTGGGACTCCAGTTGCCAACATACAGCCTCCTTTCAGTAAAAATATGCCTGGAAGTGTATCGGTAGAATCAGGTGGTAAGAGCAGCACCCCGCGGCGACCTTTGCCTCCCTTGCCGCCTGGTGAAGAGTCATGGACGAATTCGGCAGCAGGCGAGGACCCCTCTAAAAGGACATCCCGATGGAGCGTGTTTGCCGAACAACTGCAAACCCGGGGAGAGAATTGGAAAGAAAAGTACGAGGCAAAGTACGAGGCTCTGTCGGCTGGCCGTCATAGCCTTGACTCTACTAGACCGATATTGCGGCCTCGTTCTTCGCATAACCGTACCGGATCACCGTTAGGAAGCCCTGGGCAATCTCCTAACCGGCATAGAAACACACATGGCAACCCTCCTAGCAATGCTGGCTTTCATATAACGCTCATTCGACGTGATCCTACGTCCGGCACACAATGGAATGTTGCAACTATATCGACCCCACGAATGGACCGCAACACCGTAGATATCGAGATTTCCACCCCGGGATATAACAGGTTCGCAGGCTCAAATGAGATGCCCTCATTATCCAGCCTGGCAGCCAATATCCCGACGGGAATCGGACGCCTACCTAACTCCGCCATTCCCCAATCCTCGACAGCCGAGCAACCAAAGGAGCAGCCAGCCGGCCCACGCAAATTCCACCGCCAACTTTGCGTATCAAAGCCATATGACGACTCGATTGCCACAGATGGTAGCAACGGCCACACTCAAGATAGCCCGTCCCCATCCAAGCTAAAAAGCGGCTACTATGTCTTCACTTCTCCCTGGAATGGCATATGTACCTTCACAAACAGCGTGAACGGCCGAAGCCTCAAGTGCAAACACATGATACCAACACCCGGCGGCTTCGTCCCTCCCAATGGCGAAGCAGAAGCACCCCCCGCCGTAACTGTCGCCGAGATCCGCTTCAATACCCCCTTCCAAGCAGCAAATCTTCACTCGCACGCCCACCACGCAATCCACAAACCCCATCCAAGCCACCTCTCTCCCTTCACACAAAGCCAAATCCAAAACCAGTCCCTCCCCCGCCTACACGACGACAACAACTCCAGCCTTGACGGAGGGCCACTCCACCCATCCTCCTCCAACAACAGCCACGCATCCGCAAAGCGCAACTCTCTCTCCCAACTCCTAAACCCAAACACCTACGCGCGGCCACGCGCGCACACAGGCCCAGGCTCGCACCCCCCACCTCTCTCTGCCTCAACCCCCACAGACTCGCGCGCAAACTTCAGCCCCTCAACCCTCCTCCGCAAAACGTCTATGCGTGCCCAACGCTTTGCGCGCCAGAGCCAATTCAATCCCGCTTCTCAGCCCCACTCGCACCGCAGTACGAGTAACAGTAGTGGTGGGGATTTGGATCATGATTCCGATGAGGATCGCTTGGATTTCTCGCTTGCGAGGGAGCCTGCTGGTGGTGGGTTAAGGGGGAAGAGTGCGAAATTGGGGAAGTTGGTTATTGAAGATGAGGGGATTAAAATGCTTGATCTGGTTGTTGCGGCTTGTATGGCTGTTTGGTGGAGGGGATATTACTATTGAGATATATTGATCTTATCCAGTCTTTGTCTTGGTCTCGGTATTGAAAATCCGGGCTTGGTTTATGAGGCTCATCTACTGGCTATAGTCAGTTATTTTTGCGATGATATCGTATATGAATGCATGAATTTCATTTTGTAGGATCCACTTATTTCTTTGTCTAAACATTTCATCTGATGTGGTTATCCCTTTGTTTTATATATATATATATATATATTGATGCTATTTCCAAGGCTTGCAATGTATTGCTCATTATCGCTTACGCAGTGCCACTAACACCTACTCATGCTATGTACCCCACACTAGCCCCAGTAGAGGTATATCTCTAAACTTAAGGATTGCCTCCTACCTGTAGCTTGGTCTTAGAAAGTGCTGGCATGGCAAGGTGAACTTCTCTACAGTTTCGCTAATGCTAGTTGAACAATATTTACATTTAGTTAAGTGTACGATATAATCCAAGTTTGCTATAATTCCATCTGTGACCTGTAAGAGGGGATCCGTCTACAAACTAACGTTGGAAAATAGTAAGCGAGCGTCAGTTGCATCACCCTAATTGTAGATCTGAAGATCTGATCCAAAACAAATAAGTGGATTCGCCGACAACGTCATTCGAAACCCGATCGTTGGAACATGGCACGTGATGTCCCAACAGCGTAGGACCAATAACACTCACTTGAATGGACCCACATTAGTACATCCTCAATATCAGACCTCGAAAGGAAAAAAAATAGGTAGCTTCTCTTTGATTGCGCGTGTCATCCTTAGTGCAGGGGCCATGCTAATCTTCTCTGTATATTTTCAGTTGACCATATGCCCCGAAGGGCGAAATATCTATACGTTTAGTTCATTATAACCTCACTTTTCGGCAGAAAGTTACCGCCTACGTACCTATCTGGTGGCAGTCAGGTGGCAGACACGTGGATGGGCACGTGGCCGAGTTTCTTTGTGTACAAACCCCCTGCCAGGGGTATGGGTTGACTATATCTGGCTTCTAGCACAATTGAATGCTTGGAGGGTAATTTGATCATTATAGCAGAGTTAGAAATAGAGGTGTTACTGGCTAGCAATCATTTTATACAGTGATGTACTGTCAAATCCTCATAGAATGGATTTGAGCTATGTTGTTTTAATGGATCATTATTGACAGAGACATAACGAGGGGGGGAGGGGGGGAGGGGCTTGAATGACAATCTATCTAATGATAAACCTAATTGAAAGAGATGCAATGCACATAGTAATCAAGTATTTAATCCAACCAGGAACCACAACCGATAGCACCTCTTTGGAAGTAGTCAAAGCATTCAGACATAAACACGAAGAACACATCAAAGAGACAGGAAACGCAGACACAACAAGCTATGAAATCGGGTAGGAGCGCAGGCCACAGAACGACAAATAAGAGATGCGAAAGTCGAGTTCGAGATTGCAGTTAAAATGGAAATTGAAAAATGGAAAGAAAACCCCATGTAAATCGTCCCAGTCTTTTTTTGTTTCTCTGAAGGTATCTCTTGGCTAAATTAGATCAACATGCAGGGCGCGATAGAAGACATTGGATTCAACACGCCGAACAACCAACAAGTCGAGAAAAACAGGCAGAAAAAGATAAAAAGGTATCAACGGTGGTGCACGTCCATGCCGCGCTGCAGCGAGGATTCCAAGTCATTGGGGTTGTAACCACCGCCAGCGGTAGCCTCCTGAGGTCTAGGATCCTCGGTCTTCCAAGGACCCTGTTGGTTATCCGGAATGGGGATGTTAGTCTGCTGAGCGATCTGCTGCTGCTGGGCGGCGTGGGCCTGCGATTGCTGGCGGACGGTAGCACGGAAGCGGATGACCTCGTCGAGGATCATCTTGCGCATGTCAGGGACTTCGTCAACGACCTCAAAGTGGAAATCGAAGGTCGTGGGGCAGTTCGGCTCGTCGGAGGCGTCGTGCCAGATGTGCAGGTAGGGGTGCTCAAGGGCCTCCTCGACAGAGATACGAGACGACGGATCGAATGCCAGCATGCGGTCCAACAGGTCCAATGCATCCGGGTTGGCTTGAGGGAACAGCTGCTTGAAGGCCACCTTTGGCATGAAGGGCAGGTTGCGAACGTATTCTTGTGCGCGAGGGGAACCAATCCGTGCCAGGGTTTCTTCGTTCGGTGTGCCCAGGTAGTGCAGGATCTGGTTCAGCTGGTCGACGTAGTCGCGACCCTTGAAGAAGGGCCGGCCGCCGAGGAGCTCGGCAAGGATGCAGCCTACGGACCAGACGTCAACTGTAGATGTGGGGTTAGCGGGGACTGCTTGGGTGGCAAATTACGGCGTGGCGTTACATACTTGCTTTGGTATAGCTCTGGAAGCTCAGCATGATCTCCGGCGCACGGTACCATCTAGTTGCGACGTATTCGGTCATGTAGCCTGCATTCTCCTCCGGATCGATAGAGAAACCACGAGCCAGGCCAAAGTCACAAATCTTGAGCTCGCAGTCGGCATTGACCAGCAGGTTACCGGGTTTGAGATCACGGTGCAGGACATTGGCCGAGTGGATGTACTTGAGACCACAGAGGATCTGGTAGATGAAGGATTGGAAGTGGGCATCGGTCAACGGCTGGCCGGAGCGGATGATAGCCGCCAGATCACATTCCATCAACTCTGCAGGATTATCAGTCCGGCTCTATTCGACACAAGGTAGCAGAGCAGCACCTACCCTCATAGAGATATGTTTCGTTAAAGTTGTCCGGTCGGGGAATGTCCATATCGTACAGGCATGTGATCTAGAGGGGTGAGTTAACGGGTATAGGTATTGATAAGGATGATCTGCGGCCTACATTGCGATGGCCACGGAAATGCTGGAGCAGCTTGATCTCTCGCAAAGCCCGCTTGGCCAGGATCTTCTTGCTGAAGACATTGGTGACCTTCTTGACGGCGACGCCCTCGCCGGTCTGAACGTTGGTTGCGGCGCTTGGGACTATCAGCACATGCGTATCTCCAGTGTCCTCCAGTATCCCCACTTGCTGTCTGGAATACCTACCACACGATACCGTAGGCTCCCTGACCAAGCTCCTTTGTCACATTGTATTGCTCGCTCACGATAAAGTCCTGGTTGAAAACCTTGAAGACCTTGCGACCTTGTAAATCAGCCATGGCGAGTTGTCGCGTCGTAGAGTCGTAGAGTATTAGAGGGAAGGCAAGGTGATGGAGGAAGATGGAATTAACGAAGGTCCAGGGTCTTAAAAAGCAAAAAGAGAGAGGTTGAAGGGGGAAAAAAAAGGGTGATGGGTTGAGAGAAGTGTGATGGGATTCAGCCCCGCAGTCCCCGCGGGTGATCCACGCAAAAAGTGTTTAGTCCACTCTGGCTGTTTGGGGCTTCTGCCTTTGAATGAAATTTCATTCAAAGAACTTTCTAAATTTAAAAGTAGAAAGAGATCTACCGTTGAAGACTTGCAATTCTCGAATTTCAAGATTTGATTTCACTGTGAAAGGGTGAAAGGGTGGAATAGAAGATATTATTTCTTTGTATACTAACTCCATACATTACACACTACATATCTAAGTGTACCCATCTGCATATACCCTCGATAAAAAAAATAGAGGCTAAAGAGCATGGCTGAAACCTGTCTTTGAGTGTTTCAGTGAAGTGGGCCGATGTCAACCCTGATGTATTTTGGTATTGCAGATATCATATGTCATATTGCCCCTGTGCATAGGCTGTAGCTGTAGAGGCCAGTAAAAAATAACAAAAACATGAAACGAGCATCGGCGAGGCATTTCTGCATCGAGGTAGGTTAATTCCCAACTGAGAAGTGGGATCTAGAAGGATTAGTAATTATTCCATGCTCAATTCGTATATTGTAGTATCCATGGATGTTGTATGTTGTATGTTGTGTCTTGTAGGAACAACCTGGACACAAAGAAAAGAGCAAGGGAGAAAGGGATTTTGCCACCAGAACCCGCCTAAATCCCCGTGATCTAGCCCTATATTGTAAATTAAAAAACGAGGCAATCTCACCTAAGCCAAATTAAGAACCCTTCGCCCTCTTGTTGTGAATACTCAAGTTAGGTAAATATTCTTCTAATCCCCGCTGCCTCTTTCCGAGGCGCAGGGTCTCTATTCCCCCCCGCTTGTTGGGGGGTTTGCACAGGTCGACGAACAGGTTTGTTAGTCGAGAGAGCTGCTGGGAATCAACAAGTGCATGGTGATTCCTACCGGAAAGAGGGTCATTCGTTCCAAAAATCACCGGATAGAATGTGGGGAGGGATAGAGGGAACGATTTCCCTCCATAACAGTTGGTTCCGAGCACCCTCTTGATGTTGACCCGGAACTCGTGGTAAAGCAAGCAGAGATTCTCGTCCCCCGGGAGAACGTCACTAAAGCCTTCATCATCCAGCCAGTCTCTCAAAAAGGACAAGTCAAACCCCCATGATGCCCAGGACATGAATTTTGTGTCCTGAGATATGTTGGCTTCTCGAAGCTTTTCAACTACTCGTTTGGCATTAAGCTTTCCATCTTGTGTATAGTAGCGTTTGACTTTAGCTGCATGATTCTGTTGCCGCCAAGTTGCCGGTGCAGAGAGGCGCGATGAGGAAGGTGCGATAATTCCCTCACCATATTGAGTAAGACAATCGAGTACTTTGTTCCCCGCCAGATCAGCGAGGCCGACTTGGAGCACCTCCTGGGAATAGAAAGAGAATTCCAAGTCGATATTAACCACCTCGGAAGCCGGGATCTTGGCCTTGTTGTCGGATTCTATCCTCCTGATGATATCGGCCATTACCTTTGTCTCGGGATACCACTGGACAGAAGTGGCCTGATCGAACAAGCTCTTCATCTTTTTCATGTCGTCTTCCCCAGGGAGGCCTGGTTTCCAGGCAAGAAAGTGTTTTTGGCACAACTTTGAACCCTCCCACAAAACGCCGACGCAGCTCTTATAGTGGCACGTTTTCTGGTCAGCACCTGCCTCCAAAAATCTCACCCTCAAGAACTCGTTGAACATGAATCTCCCATTGCAGGGAGCGCATCGGGCTTTGAGCCCAACGCGGTCTCTCAAACGATCTTTGTAAAATGTCCCTGTCTCGAACGAGATTATGGCGTTGTGTGGGCACACTTGCGTACCAATAACTAATCCGTCAACTACCCTTTCTGGCCCTGGGCACTTGAGACCGAGGTGAATCAGGCCGTCAGATTGAGCAGCTAAAGTACGGGAATTAGCAATGGGGTGTAAGGCAGCAATATCTTGTATGCCTTACCTTCTCTGAGAATCTTTTGTTTTTTGGGCGGACTGCCCAGCCACGCAGCTGCTGCCTCGGCTGTTGGCTCGGCACCCACGGACTCGTCAAGTTCGTCATCCTCGGACTCGCTTTCGGAATCTTCTCCATCTCCGTCGTTTTCGTCCTCGGAATCCCCAACTTCGTCTTCGGTTTCGACATTGTCACCGGGGAGCGAACTCAGGACCTGTTATTCTCATTAGATAATGATCATTTGTTGTTTCTTTTTACGTACCAGTAAAGGCTTGCATTGTCCGTCCTGTATGTGCCCCCGTTTGACATGCAACTTGTAATGGGACAAGGCATGAAATTGTGACTGTTTCCTCCCCTGAATTTGACTGAGGCATCGAGGGTACTGGCATACCCATTTAGGCCTCACAAAATGCTGATCTACGTGCTGTTTGGCCTCGTAGATTGTCACGAACGTTTGCTCGCAACCAAATTGCTCGACATGCTGGCAGGGCCAATGAGCGCCTTTGTGTGCAGATAGGTAGTGGTTTGTGATTCTCCGGGGGCTCAAGTATGTTGTCGTACAACCTGCGTGTGGGCATGTCCACTTGCCATCCATAAAGGACGGCTGGGGGATATTATCCGGTATCACCTCCCCGTCTAGGTCTCTTAGTGGAATGTCCAGCGATATCCTAGGCCAGGCCGCAATGAAGCTTTGGTCCGGTTGAAATTTACCATGCTTCGCTATAGCGTGGTCTTTCGCAGCACGCCGGGAAGAGAATGTCTTCGGGCAGTTTTCCTCCTTGGCACGTGGGCAAGGACAGGGTTTAACTCTCTTCTTAACACCATGCATCGTGTGTGCGTGACGAATAGAATTGCTTTCATTGGTAAACTTAAGTGTACACTCCTCCTCGTCTGCCAGGGGACACGGCCATTCGGCTCCCTCATGCATTTCCCTATTATGCCTCTCGGCATGTCGACTCGTGGCGAACGTCCTATCACAGTCGAAAACCGTTGCACTTGGGCAAGGAAATCCTTCCGCCTTTCTCAGGGAGCTAGAAGGACCCTCGTCGGTATGAAACCTCGTTGCATGGACTGCGGCCCCGTTTTTGGTGGTGAAATCCTTGGTACATCCCTCTTTAGCAAAGGGACAGGGCCATTTAAGTTTCTCATGGGCATTCTGAGAATGCACCTTTGCATTTCCTTTCAATGAAAATGTCTTCTTACAATTGAATTCATTTGCCAGTGGGCAAGGGAACCTTTTTCGGGTTTCTTTATCGGAATGGATTACTTTTGCATGCATCTGCGCACTTCGCTTGGAACGAAATGTCACATCGCACCCTTCTTCCTCTGCCAAAGGGCAGGGCCATTCGACAATTTCGGTTTCGTGCGCGTACTTACCATGCTTGATCGCATCCTTCTGAAAGGCATATGTGTTTGGGCAGTTTAGATCATCTGCGTGAGGGCATGGCCATCTAGATGGGTTGTGTACGCCCTCAGCATGAATGTTTGCATTCCTTTCCGAAAAAAACATCTTGTCGCAATCGAGCTCTGATGCGTGGGGACATGGCCATTTCACTCGCTCGTGGTCCCTCTGGGAGTGTTGGTGTGCTTTCATTTTCGAGTCAAACATCAATTGGCAATCGAGTTCCTCTGCTCTTGGGCAGGCCCATTTGATTCCCTTGTGCGCCTCATTGGCATGTCTTTGTGCACTGGTCTTCGAGTAAAGCGTCTCCTTGCATTCGAGGTCGTCTGCTCGTGGGCATGGGCAGGGTTCTCTTTCGTCGTGTGCACTTGTGGCGTGGTCATTCGCAGCATCTTCTGAATGAAACTTCTTGCGACAATTCAGGTCCCCCGCGCGCGGGCATGGGAAATGCCGGGAGTGCACCTGGTTAACGTGCCTGGTTGCATCTTGTTTACGTGAAAATGTACTGTCGCATTCAAGTTCTTCCGCCAGCGGGCATGGGAATTTATCCCCCTCCATCGATGCGTGGAGGAAGGTGGTCTGTAGGGAGATAAGGGTGTTGAGATGTTGGTAGAGCGAGTAGTAGAATGAGGCCTGACTGTAATGGTAGTGATGTCTAACAGAGTCTTCGCTATGTGAAGTTCTTGCAGCTATAGCAACTGAGGAGAAATCAAACGAAGAAAGCCTGGTGTTTCATGCTCTGGGAAAGAAAGTATTTATATCCTGGGACTAGCAAGCAAACTTCTCAGTTTGCAAACAAGCAATCATCCATGGGATAATCTGATAGAAGCTGTTGGATTGTGATAGAGACTTTGTAGGCTATTTTACCACCTTCACATACCTCCTGAAAGACCCGCTAAAAGACCTCCTAAAATGCCTGCCAAAAGACCTCCTCAAAGACCTCCTCCTCCTAAAAGACCCGCTAAAAGACCTCCTAAAAGTCATCACAAGGCCGCAAACGCGGCTGACTATTCTAGTATAGCACATATGTTGTATAGGATAGGTGAAAAAAGTAGGGCTTACAATTCCGCAGACCACAGAGACCAAGAGTACAAAAATCTGGAAAAGCTAAAACTTGTTCTTAATGGAGCAGATCACTAAGTAAGCTTAAAATAAACCTTAGAAATAGGCACTCCCGCCTTGAAAGCCAGGAAGATGTCAATCTACCCAAGGTGGGTTCGCTTCAAGGGTACTGCGTTCCGTGGCTTGACCCAGACCTTGATTACTCTACTACATTAGGTATTGTATGGGTTTAATAAAATCAGCAGAACATCCGCATGTAATTCATTTCACTTTTCGTAAATCGGTAACGAATTTATCCCCTACAGAGTGTTCTCCAGCCGACGCTCCTTGCGCAATGCCCGGAGCTTGAGTCGTGCCTCCTCGAGAGGGACCATGATACCCTTATTTTGGGTCGCAGGATCATCACGATTACGGATGTTGACGGTGCGTGACTCCTTCTCCTGGGCACCCACAACAAAGATGAAGTTGTATTGGGCCAGCTGGCCAGTACGGATCTTCTTCTGCAGGGTGTTGCCACTGACATCCACATCCACATTCAACTTGTCAGCCTGCAGGATACGCTGCAGCTCCTCGGCGTAGTCGTTCAGAGCCGGCATGACAGGCACAATTAGGATCTGGCGCGGACTGATCCAGAACGGCCACTTGCCACCAAAGTGCTCGATCAAGATGCCCAGGAATCGCTCGAAGCTACCAATAATAGCACGGTGAATGACAACAGGGCGGGCACGACCAGGGGGCAGGTCGTCGGACTTGGGCTCGCCCTCCTTCGCGTCCACCTCGGTGTTTTTCTCCCGGCTTCCGTCGGTTTGATACTCCAGCTTGAAGTTCAGGGGAGCCTGGTAGTCCAGCTGAATGGTCGCGCATTGGAATTCACGCTTGAGAGCATCTGCAATGGTGATGTCGATCTTGGGTCCGTAAAAGGCACCGTCACCTTCGTTGATGATCCAATCATTACCCTTAAACTTGGTCAAGGCCTGTTTGAGCTGGTCCTCGGCATGGTCCCAGGTCTCCAACGAACCCATATACTTCTCGGGGCGAGTAGACAGCTTCAATTTGAACGTGAAGCCAAATAGCCCATAAATGGACTGCAAGAAATCGAACAGACCCTCGACTTCGGACATAATGTCCGAAAACTTGCATATTATATGACCGTCATCTTGCTGGAACCGACGCACTCTCGTCAGACCTGACAACGCTCCAGAAGCTTCGTTTCGATGCAGGACACCGAAGTCTGCAATGCGCATAGGAAGCTCGCGGTAGCTACGTTCCCGATGGGCGAACAGAGCGAAGTGTCCAGGGCAGTTCATGGGCTTGAGAGCCCACTCGCGTTTCTCAACATCCAACTTGAACATATCTTCCTTGTAGTGAGCCCAGTGTCCAGAGGTCTTCCAGATGCTAACGTCGTACATGTTGGGGGTCTGGACCTCCTGGTAGCCTCGCTTGCGGTATTCAGAACGCAGAAGAGACTGGATCTGGTTCAAGATCTTGGTTCCGTTCGGGAGGAGGAATGGGCAGCCGGGAGACACCTCATCGAAGAAAAATAGCTCTTGCTCCTTGCCGATTCTCAGGTGGTTCCGCTTCTCGGCTTCTTCCAAAAACTTCAAGTGCTCAGCCATCTGCTTCTTGTCGGGGAAAGCAACACCACGAATACGCTGCAGAGAGTCGTTGGATTGGTCACCAAGGAAGTAGGCCGATGAGTTCTAGGAGTAAACATTAGTAGGTGTTTCCCTCCGTTGATAGGTCGACCAGGCGCACTTACCTGCATGATCTTGAAGGTCTTGATTTTGCCGGTGTTCTGAATGTGAGGGCCACGACAGAGATCGACAAGGGTACCGCAACGGTAGACAGTGCTACTCTCGCCGGTGACGAGCTTGTCAATATAGTGCAGCTTGTATTTGCTGTATGCGAACATCTTCTTGAGGTTCTCCTTGGAAACATCCAAGCGGTCGAAGCTTTGCTTCTCCTTGAAGATACGTGCTGCCTTGGTGTCAAGCACCTTCCAGTCAGCCTCACGGACAACCTCTCTGTTTCCCCACATATATTAGCATTGACCTAGTTCTGAACAGTAGGTGATAAGAATAACATACCCGTTGGGCATGGCCATATCGTAGAAGAAGCCTTGGGGAGTTGGCGGGCCGTGGCTTAAGAGTGCTTTGTAGTGGCATTCACACGCCTCACCCAGAGTGTGAGCACTGGAGTGCCAGAATACCTCGCGGGCCTCAGGGTTGCTGAAAGGCACAAGAAGCACACTACAGTCCTTCTCTAGGGGTCGGTTCAAATCCCACAGCTCTCCATCAACCTTGGCAATAACAATATTGGCACTCAGATCCTTGGGAACATCACGTAGGAAAGATCCAGGAGTGGTCTCGAAGGCTTTGGCGGGGACCGAGGAGGGGGGGTTGCCGTCACCAATGTCAAGGGTAACATTGATCTCCGGGTGGGGACGGGTCTTGGTCTCCTCGAGATATTGTTGCCAGAGTTCCTCGAAAAGGTTGTTTCGCTCAATCATAAACTCTGGGAGGGTATCAGGGCTCGGGGCCTGCTTGGATTTCGCTTTCGCATCATTTGGAGGGGCACTAGCAGCTTCAGAGGCGTTGTTAGCCTGTGCTTCAGCGGCAGGCCGCACAGGCAGATCCTTAGGAGATTCAGATGCCATTTTTAAACCCCTTGGAGCAATGACACAAGGGAATTGGACTATGAACAAAAACTCTGATCGTGGTATACTCCGCGCGGAGGGGAAAATGACTCTTCGTGAGGGCGGTGAAGTTAAGGTCACGTGCTGGTACTGCCCTTAGCCGACACTTTACCGCTTCAAGTTTCCACCAAGCGAAAACTTCTCCAGCTTTTTCAAGTCAATCACCCTTATCACCACAAAATGTCTTTCCGTGGTCGTGGTAACGCTTCTGGTGCCAACCGGGGAGGTTTCGGCGGTGGCCGTGGTGGTGAGAATTTTCCAACGTGAATGCGATGCGAGAAGGTCAAAGGAGCTAACGAAATTTTTTTTATTGCAGGTCGCGGAGGCTTCCAGCAGTCATTCGGCCCCCCAGCCCAGGTTCTGGGTAATTATTCTTCTAAACCTGACTATAATTGATTCATGTCACTGATATGCCGATAGAGCTGGGCTCCGTGATGCACTCTTGCGAGGGTGAGATGGTCTGCGAATCGGTCAACCCCAAGATTCCTTACTTCAACGCTCCTATCTACCTGGAGAACAAGGTACGTCAATACTCCACCAAACCAATACAATCTATAAGTCCGTGACCTAACTGGTTCTATAGACTCAAATCGGCAAGGTCGACGAAATTCTCGGTCCTATTAACCAGGTCTACTTCACCGTCAAGCCCCAAGACGGTATCGTCGCCACTTCATTCAAGGCTGGTGACAAGGTCTACATTGGTGGAGATAAGCTGCTTCCTCTCGAGAAGTACGATTCGCTGTCCTACTCATTCTTCTACACTTTCACTAACTCACCTCCTAGGTTCCTCCCCAAGCCCAAGCCTCCCCCAGGAGCTGCTAAGCCCAAGCGCGCCGGTGGTGGTGCTCCCCGTGGCCGTGGTGGATTCGGTGCTCCCCGTGGCCGCGGTGGATTCGGTGCCCGCGGCGGTGCTCCCCGTGGCCGTGGTGGCTTCGGTGGTGGCCGTGGTGGTGGTTTCGGTGGTAGCGGTGGTTTCTCCCGCGGCGGCGGCGGCGGTGGCTTCTCTCGTGGAGGTGGTCGCGGCGCCCCCCGTGGTGGTGGTGGCTTCCGTGGTCGCGGCTATTGATCGATCCAATGTACTGTCTCTTTACGGCGTTTTGGGGGATCTGGGAGCTTTTTCAGGAATATCTTTCCGTCTTCTTGTGCATCCTGCGCAATTGCAACTTCACTGGCTGCAGGCTGTAGAATATCACCAGTCAAAAATGTTTCTGTTATTTTCATTCGATTTCCCTATAATTGCATATTAAATCATAGCAACTCGTGTAGAAATTCGGGGATAATCGGCTCGCCGGACATTTGGTTGGGATGTGGCTGGTGGATGTGGCGCAGCTGCACCGCCTCTGCCTACCTGCAGTTTGAAATGACGTTGACCGCTCAGCGAATCTGTGCGTCCGTCAACACTCCCAAGCAGGATTGAGAGCATTTTTATTCTTCTTACCCAATCTTGCCCTTTAGACATCTTATTGAGACAGAGTATCCTTTTGCCATAAATTTTCTTCGAATCTCATATCCATTTGAGCATGTCTCGTCGGACATCGACCATGGCATCAAGCAATTCCTCTAGTGGTGTCCCGCCTTCAGGCGATGGAGGTGCGTTTGAGCTCCCCTCTGATCTTCCATTGGCAATATAACTGACATTTCCCAGGCCAGGAGAAGCAGAAAATGCTGCTTTCCTCGGATCATGGTCATTTCAGCATGGTGAAGTCAGTCTCGTGCTTCCCGCGCTCCTTTGCCCTCGGTTCAGCCTAACTCTCAACAGGGCCATGCATCTTGCTGATCTGATTACTGAAATGAATGGTTAGTGATCACAATATCTTTGGAGTTTGCTTGGATTGACTCACTAACTCTTAATCTTAGGTTTCTGTGGAGGCAAGCTCATGTTTCCCAACCGTTTTTCCAATCCGCGACTAACATGTTGAGCAGTCATGTCGGTCTTTTCCTCCATGCGCTACTGCCTCGGAGACCCAACCGAATACGGTGCTATCTGGGCTGCCCTCGCATTCATGCCTTTCGGTCTGTTCTTCGACTTTATGGATGGCAAAGTCGCAAGGTGGCGCAAGAAGTCGTCTCTCATGGGACAAGAACTCGACTCGCTAGCGGACTTGGTAAATGATCCCGGCAAGTAACCAGAATCAGGTTGTTGCTAACACTTCTATTCCAACTAGATCTCCTTCGGTCTCGCTCCCGCCGCCGCCGCATTTGCTCTTGGTATCCGAACCTCGGTTGATCACGTCTTCCTCACATTCTTCGTTCTCTGCGGTCTGACCCGCCTCGCTCGGTTCAACGTGACTGTAGCCGTACTGCCCAAGGACAAGACTGGAAAATCCAAGTACTTCGAAGGTACACCCATTCCGACCACTCTGTCAATCGCTTCCCTTATGGCCTACTGGGTCTCTCAAAGTTGGACACACGAGAACATCCCTCTTGGTCTTGTCGCAGAAGGGACCATCTTCGAATTCCACCCCGTGGTCCTGATGTTCGTTCTGCATGGATGTATGATGGTCAGCAAGACGATACACATTCCTAAGCCATGAGCTCAACCCAAACTTGGCCGCGCATTCACTGTTGGAAAAAAAATGCCCGAGTCTGTTGTCTCTCTCAACTTGGACAACTGAAAATAAATATCGAGAGGGCCTTCGTTTGTAGGCAAGGCATAGCATAATCTCGATGCACTTAAATAAGGATGCTTAATTGAATTTCAATTGCATAGATTGACTATAGTCATTGTGGCTTCTACGTAGGGGTTGGATTGACTGTGGCCAACAATCTTGGCAGGTTAACGTGTTGAAGGTGTAGCTTTTGGAAACAGCAAATTAATGTTGGGTATACAAGCAAGTGAGCCATGGATCCTCTATCAACTTCAACAACGGGCAGATGCACACGCAATTCTGACAACTTTCATATTGTCATGATGGCCAAATAGCTAGGAGCTCTAAGAGCTCTTCATCTGCTTTTGTTTCCTCTAGGCCAAACACTCGCCATATTTTAAACAAACCTATGAGCACAATGACCCTGGCCACATTGGAACATCCGCGATGCCTCGAATGCCGCGACGATGGCATAAGACGGATCGTCAACGACAACAACCCAAATGGAAATGCAGGCCGCCCATATTACCGATGCTACCCATGTGATCGATTCATCTGCTTCGACGACCAGCGCGGGATCAGTCCCGCTAACCCACTGTGCGACTGCGGTCTGTACTCTCGAAGGCAGATGGCAGGTGTTGGGAAGCAGGTCCCACGTGGCCTGCATTATGTTTGTGCTCGGGGAGGATGTTACTTCTACGAGCTGATGTTGGACAATGGTCGTCAATTTCTAGTTCCTGACAACCTGGTGCACGTATGTGTTGCACTCTCTTTTATCTGAGGCTTGGGGCTTGGACATGGTTTTGTTATGACACGGGTGTCTTATCTCTCAGAATCCATCTATTGGTGGTCCTCGCAAGTAAAAGATCGTACTTGTCTTGTTCTTCTTGTAAGCTCGCTAAAATCCCTGAGCAGTTGTTCGTCTCCGGTTGTGTCTGCAAGTGTACCCTAGTAGAAAAGGGAGCTAGGGATGCGTTGTATTAAATGTGTATCCATTGCCATCGTTTATGGGTGGTTGTAAGTTGAACCACGGTGTAGACGTATACGCAATATTGACCTATAGAGATCGTCATAATGACCACTTGGCCAGGTATCTCTCACAGCCTCCGGGGCTATGAACAAGGACTTCGATACAACAGCAAACAATCCTTGAATACAGGCAATCTAAATCAAAGGCAAGTTTACACAGGAAGCCTTATCACCAGCTCACAAGATCGTATCTAAGCCAACCACTACAGCGGACCAACCCTATCACGACTACAGCCATGACCATCACCAGACTTGAACCTCCAAGATGCCCTAAATGCTACGCAGATGGTATGAGACTGAAAGTCGGGGAGCACAACCCAAATGGCAACGCAGGCCGCCCATATTACAAATGCTACCCATGTGATCGATTCATCTGCTTTGCTGATCAACGCGGGATAAGTCCGGCCAACCCGCTCTGCCAATGCGGCGAGTACACTCGTAGGCAGATATCGGGGGCTTCAAAGGGGGTACATCATGGGATCCATTATGTTTGCGCTCGTGGATGGTGTCGTTTCTACGAGAAGCATGTGGATCTGGATGGTGCTCAGCGACAGGTTCCAGCTAGGTCGGTGGGAATATGTGCAAGTTACTCGTATATCTGAGGTCTGAGGCTTGGGTTTGATGGTTTTATTTTGTTCTTTTTTTCAGTCTGGTTTGTGTTGAGCTTGAGGATAATGACATACTTCTTTTCCCCATCCATACATGTGTAATTCTTAGTGTTTATGTTAGGCGTGTTTTGAAGTTTACTGGAACATTAGAGCTTCTATAATTGGAATCTGGAGTGAGTTAGGTACATGTACGGAGTATGTTGTATATATTTAGCTAACCATGTATCGTGGGACGATGATATGCCCAACATGTTTGGATAAAGTTATATCTCAAGCGAGACGATACTCTCTTTTCCGAGGTAATCATCGAGCCGGCCCTTCCGCATGATCTAGAATATAACTGATAGAACAGCCGAAGGTCACAGGCCAAATCAGAATTTTTAGCATTTAAAATTAGAACGATCTCTCTTGGTCAGGCATGCAGGGTCTAGACCCAGATGCAAGTTTCACTTTGAGATCCGAATTCGAAGACTCTCCTTATCCACAGTTTGAACAAATTAAACTGGTGTTCTCATCGAGATATCCACTAAATATGAAAGATTCAAGCAAATTGAACATAGTCTTTTTTCTGTCGACTTCAATTCTTGCGGTACTCAAGGGGTTACGTTTCTACATGATTCCTTTGGCAGGTGGAGAATACAACTGGTCTAGTGGACGCCACTGGTCCCGGAATATCTGTGTCTAGACGGAAATACCGGCTGGGCAGGTCTAGGCGTGTATACTCATTGAGGCACTACTGTGTACGAGTATGTGGTACGGAGACGCAGTACAAACCTGTATTGCCTGTGCATACTGATCGGGTGTGTTTTTGGAGGCTCTGGGTTAGTATTACTCGGATCTCGGGCCTGACCACGGAGTTGATGAGCAATATGTCTCACTGCTGGAAGATCGCTCTTCTTTGGGCGTTTATTGTTTGTTCTGTGGGCTCTGTGGCCGCGAACGCCTTTAGAGGGGAATTAGGTCGATGATATTGAAAATTGGCTGGAATTATTGAACGTGGGTGGTGTCCGTGGCGAGATGCTTACCTGCGTGGGCAGTCGTATTGATCGTTTAAAATGAGGCTTATATTAAAATGGTCTGGAAGTTGCAATAACAATGGAATCTATGGCCTAGAACGGGTTGCAAGGGACTAGATCTGCAAGGTACACCCGATACATCATACACATTAACCGTCCGAAGCGCATTTCGCCCGCATGTTTACTACAACACAGTAAATTTATCTCTCCGTTCAGAAAAGGGTCTGTGGATGTCTCAAAGTCAGTAATCCTCGCATTATGGTAACGTGGTTAGAGTAAATAACCTCCGATATCTCCAGGGGTTATATGCATGAGAATACGTGGTAGGCAATGCTAATAATACCACATACTGTTATGGAGTCGAGTCACGAACAAAACACTTCAAGCACGTAAACCTTGCAAAAAGATCCAAGGTACAATATATGACGTCCAAAGTACATACAAGATCGAACACAACCCTAACTACTCCGTACATATGTAGTAGGTGCCATTTACAACAGATAGAACCATTTATAGACTTGCACATCACAGGTGGCAGATATTGAGCCACAGTGCCCTATCTTACAGAGCCCAATTTCGTTATGGACATACGGTTTTTTTGTGGCTGAAGGGCGCAGGGCATTATTTTGTTACAGGGACGGTACAGTGTATCAAGGGAAAGAACAGATCAGAGTAATTTGGTACGCTCCACCCGGGAGTGGCCGCTCATAACCCATGGAAATAATTTAGATAACACATGGAAAGGGGGCATGAACAGGGATGAAAGAAGACATACATGGTGAAGTTTAAGTGCAAGGTGCGACTACTCAGAGTATACTCCGTACTAATTGCTGGATTGTTAACTCCTTGAGGTTTCATGTTGTACGGAGTACTCCGTAACAAACCTGAAGATTCTTAGCGCGTGTATGGAGTATTGAAATTGGCTCCGCCTGGGTGGGAAATGAGCCCGTTCCATACTGACATGGTATTTTTCTTTTTCTTTTTCTTTTAATTTCAATGGCAAAATTTGGCTGCAATTTATCAAAGGGAGATCTGAATTTCCCCTCGACCATCAGCTAAGGATGCACTTGTCAGCCATAAATGACCATGGCGTATGTTGATCGGTCATTTATACGGAGTACAATATACAGAGCCGATCACAATATGGAAGCAGACCCTGAGACGGAACAAAGCGTCATTAGCCGAAGGCTAAGTAATGCTGTGCGTTGTACAATTTTTGAGGGGTAAAACACAAGGTCGTCATCAAGGGTCTTTTTCATGTGGCAAGTCGGGACGATCATTCACATACTAAGTCCTTGTAAAATACAGAGTAATACCTAGATTATATATAAAATTACTACTCCGCATGTAAAATGTTAGATATTGAATATTGGACGAGGTTCACACAATGAAAGTCTCATAATCACCGCTTAGCACCCGAAGCAGACTAGCGGTATGCCCAAGGACTCCATCTAGCTGCCGTGTCTGACCAAAATAGGAAATGGATCCACAACGGTCCCCTGGCTTACCTAGGCCCTGGGGCGGGTGCCTGATTACCTAAATATATTTCAACGTATCATTGGAGGACTGTTTGTTGGATACCTGGTACTGTATCATACAAGGAGCAAACAACATTGAAACCACCCGTGAAAGACTTGGACTGAAAGTACCTGGTACTCGAGTGTACCAAGGCCCCCTCCCCATACGCCAAGTACCTCATACCTTCTCCGGGGAACACAGACCCCTTGACAGTCCCTTTCCCAAGGGATCCATTATCCGTCACTTCTCTTCCCTCCTGATCTTTCCATCTTCCCTTTACTCCGTACACACATTCGTTCACCCGATTTCTTCGCTCGTTTACTCCCTTTCTATCTGGGGATTATCAACTGAACTACTACTTAGTTCACGGTCGCTCACTCTCGCCCGAAATTGTAGGAGGTGAACCTCTACTCGACCACTTACTCCGGGTACCCCGTCAATACAACGCGAAATCACCTTCCTTTTACTCGTCTTTCCAACCGCCAAAACCCTCGACTTCCTCGTTAAATACAACCTGAGTGTCTGACCGAATATTTCAGATACGTGTGGGACACTTTGAGAACAAACGACGCCTACCAGCATACATTCAAACAGAAGTTCTTGAGGGTTACGCAGGCCGTCCCCAGTCCTTCATCCATCGCCCCTGTGACTGTATCCAGCGGTGTTTACTTTTCACACTGATTTCGATACTCGACTTTCCTACTCTCCCAATACATCATGCTTTTCAACACTCAAGGGGCCCTCGCGGTGTCTAGTGTGCTACTGGCAGCCACCTCGGCAGTTGCAAAAGACTTCAAGGTGCTTCCTCGTGGCTCACCATTAGGGACACTCCAGGGCTGCTACTCCGCTATTCCTGGATATGGAAAGTCAACGAGCTGGACGTTCCAGAGTTCCGGATGGTGTCTGGACCACTGTGCCAAGGACTACGCGACATTTGCTTTGACAAAAGGCACTGACTGCGTGTGTGGTAATACAATGCCACCAGCCAGTGACAAGGTTTCGAGCGACAAATGTAGCACATCGTGCAGTGGCTGGCCCGATGATATGTGTATGTCTATATCGCCTACCCATCGGTCACAGAGAATTGACTTACTAACGATAAATCTTGAATAGGCGGTAGTACCAACTACTATTCTGTCTATACCACAAATTTGTTAGACGAGGTGCCCACATACTCCGACCCTGACTCCAACACCAAATCCACCACAACCACTACCAAAAGCAGTAGCGACAGCAAAACTACGACGCAAGCTGACGAGTCTACCACAACTACTGCCACCAGTGCCGGTGAAATAATAACAGAGACAGCGACATCTCAGCCCACCTCGAGCAGTGTCCCTCAAAACGATATCGAGGAACAGACCTCGAAGAGCAAGAACACTGCCGCGATTGCGGCCGGAGTCGTGATCGGAGTGGTTGGATTAGCTGCTCTCTGCGGTGCTATCTTCTTCTGGTGGCGATCCAAGAATAACAAGACCAGTGCTGCAGCTGGGGCCTCTGGCGGCTTTGGCCGTGACTCTGGCCCGCCCTCGATGTCCGATTCTCGGTTCGATGGCGACTACATGGCTCAGCGCCGCCAAAGCAATGGCAGCATTGATGACGACCATGACTTCTCTCGCCGGATCTTGCAGGTAAACACGCGCAACACTTGATAACATTGTTTCCAAGCTGACCTATGATACAGGTGACGAACCCCGATCGCTAAACCAATACCCATTTTTAAACCATTCATGCTCCCTCTCTTTCCTCTCTCCACTCGGTATTAGCGAAACCCACGTCATTTCTGCCTTGATCAAACTACTTTATGAGAGCTTCCCTATCTTGTTGTCATTATTTTTCAGTCGGGTTATTCAGCGGAATTATGATATCCGAACGGCATACGGCTTGACCCGAGTCGGTGTCCCCAGCTGGTGATCTCGTATCTCTTCGGCTCTGCCTCTGGGTTGCTTTCTACCAATCCCCTCCGTGTCTACATTCAGACATCGTCATCCCGCTTCTCGATCACCACCTCTTAGGATCTACATTGGGAAATCAACCGCACCACCGGCCTTCTTAGCCGATGACCTGATCATTGTATCTTGTTCAATTATAGTGAAGTCTCAGTGGATATAGAGACGCTGGTGTGTTCGAAAAGGCGTTTCTTTCTATTTCGGCTCTAGCAATGCTCGACATTTTCGTTTTTATGAGCAAATCATTCCTTTTATGTGATTCTTTTTTACTTTTTTTTTTCCCCCTCGTGGTCTCTTTTCCTGTTTCCAGTCAGGTCTTTGCCTTCGGTTCCATAATGAGCTTCTCGCATTCTGCAATTCCCTCTGAATGGTCTGGTCCAGGGATGAGTGACTGTAAATAGGCGAGATCAATCAGCTGTACTTAATGTGAGAATGGATATGCACATCAGTCTGTGGTTACCTGCTTGTAAACTAAATTCATAGTGGTTTGGTCAAGGCTGGGTCGGAATTTGCCCAGAACCAGTTAGTGTCAACTATATATTCATCACCTTGGGCCGGCTCTCGGGGTCTATTCCAGTCAATGAGCTGAGTACATCACTTTTACACAGGGTTTCATGTGAAAAAAGAGCCAATGAATAACGCCCGAGAAGCTACTACAAAGCATCAAAAACGGAGGCAAAGACTCCTAACAAGTTGATTTAGTATGATGGATGGTCAAGGGAATTGTCCCCAACATAGCGGCGTATCAGGTGGCGATGTAAGCCTCGATGTGATCATATTCATCTCGGATGAACTCCTCGATGGTTTTCTTGCATGAGAGAACAGAGAGGTACCAAGACAGACCAATGTCAGAATTAGTGTTCAGACGAATGCTCGAATTGGATGCACTTTTGGTGCGGAGTACCATTATCACTACGGGGCTCAAGTAGAGGCGGGACTTGCAAGAGCTGATGCCGACAGGCGCAATACTGAGCATAGGATGCTTTGTCTTCCTAGACCCCTCGCAATGTCAGTGAGTTGTGTATGAATAGAGCAAAAGATGAGACAGACTGACGGTACTTCCACCATGGTTGCCCACTATGAGCCTTGCCATTGGCTTTGATCGGACGATCTAGAGAAAGGCAAAGATCTCGTACAGCCCTTGCAACGATCCAAATATTCTCCATCTCGTGAAACAGCCCAGCATCGTCGGTTGCTCCGAAACTGGATTTCTCATTGATCCAATACATACACCAGTACCCATTCTGGTAATGCGTGCAATTCGGCCCCGGATACTTTCATAGAGCTGCAGAAGAGCATAACACATGAGCATAACACATGACCAAACGATACTGAAAGCCTAAGAGATGAGTGTACTCACAGGTTCACACTGGTTGTGGCCATGGTTACATTGTTGACGACACTCGGGAGCGACAGTGTTGCGAATGCAGTTTACATTAACGGATTGAACCTATTCAATCGTATCCCAGTCATGCAGTGATCTCCTGAAGTAGTGAATGCACCAATCCGTCTCTGCTAGAACAGGGCTTTCTGCTGCAGCGCTTTCCGGAGGCATGATGAAAAAGAGAAGAAAGGAATTCAACACCGCTGACATTGATAAATCTACCTACTGCCATGAAGCCTCTTTTGCATGGGAACAAAGAGAGATATGTCAGACCGGAAGCAAGCAAGAAAGGCCTGCGCAGATAGATGCCTGAGTGCATTGGGGTCAAAGGATGGGAAAGTGATATCAAAGCACAACGAAGAAGAGAAAGCAGGAAAATGCAGTAATAAGAACCCCGGTCTCGACGAGGTAAACGAAGACACGTCAATCAACAAACAACTTTGAATATCTCAGACGAGTCCGAGATCGACATTCTTCTCATGTTATTTAGACAAAAGAGGAGCAAAGAACGCTCCTTGCAAAGATATGACGCGATCCCATCCAAAATGAAATTTTTCGCAACCGTCGACAGATGAAAGATCTGCTTCGAAGATATTTGGTGAGTATCTCCAACTTTGGAAGCCCATGGCTCTTAGATCAGAAAAGATTGGGCATCGAACAATCTAGTCTAGTCTCCGTTGTTTGACCAAACCACCATACCCAGACAAAAGAACAACCTCCAACTACCTTTTGCTGATGCCTATCCCATCCACTCACTTTCCATGACATCAGGAAGAGATACACACCGACCTCAAAGAAAACCACATGGGTCACGACTGCCAGCTGGCTAGCCTCAATCCTAGCCAATCAATTAGTCCATAACTGCATAGGCTCCTCCCGCCGAACCGCCGAACCCCCCGACATGACATACACGTCGAGATCGACAGCCCAAGTAGATCAACACCAGACCCAACAGCGGCTAGACGGACTTAAACCGGACTTGAACCGGACTTGACAGCCACATGGCTCCAAAAGGCACTAATTTAGCGACGATCTAGACCTGCAGGAGAGAGAAAAGAGATTGAAGGATGCTAGCCATGCTAGTTCCGTTGGTAGCCTGTTACAGCGGATAAACCAGGCTTGCTGATAACATAACCCTTGCCCCAACGAATATTGGAATGGAGTCTTTCTTGTTGGGGCTGGAGATTACCCGCTAAAGACATTGGACACAAATTAGGCTGGATGGAACAGGGAGATTGGTCGGGCTATTTCGGATCTACTTGACTCGCATCAAAGACTAAGATTGACACTATCCTTTGCCAAGTCCGTCCTTACTCGGTGCTCCGTACGGAGTACATGGTCCCATATTTCATTATTATTATTTTCAGAGCCCACGTCAAATGTGAGGTCTACATTCGGCGTTTCCGGAGTAAATTGCCGAGATGTCCGGAAATCATGTGAACAGATGCCGATCAATGTGCAATATAAATATATTAGATATAATTTATAATTATATATTGTACTCCATACTCCGTACTCCGTACTCCTACATTGCATTGCATTACATCTTAAAAAAGGTCTAGAAGGCAACAATAACACACTAACCCATTCCTATTTCCAGCCCTCCCAATCGGACAATTGTTACTCGATCATTCCCTGGCTGCAGAACAATGAGCCAATAGCAATCGCTGAAAATCCAACAGCGTCAACAAGCATGACTAGGCAGATGCACGCTGACGCCTAGACCACTGGTTGCGCATGTCACGCGTATGGTGATCGTTTATCATTGAGCCGTTGGCTATGCACCTAGACTCGAGCGCATCTAGACAGGGGAACTCTACGCCGGTTGATTTGAGGCTGTTGGTTGTTGGTTGCAGAAACAATGCAATTCGTTCGCGAAGTTTCTCCGCGAAAGTCCTCCACGAATGGGGGATCCTACCGTTGACTCCTCCATTGAACAGCAAAAAGACGGTGTAATGTTCCTTAATTAGCTTTCTGAGGTAGCATCTTAGGGATTATGCTAGTACCTAGTCTACTTTGTATGCTGGAAAGACCTAAATGGTATAGCTGGATTGAGCTTAGTGTGATGCTCTCGGAAAACAACCTACCTAAGTAGGTTAGAGAGGACCTTCAAACTGGGGAGCACTCTGCGACACCAACACCCGTTAAGAGATCTGCGAAGGGTCCACAGTCTTGGCCATGTGGTCTCGATGGCACGGAACGGAGCGAAAAATTGACTCCGTCGCACATCGGAAGATACGACTCTCCGTATGCAACATACGAAGTAGTAAAAGAAATTCCATAAATGAAACAAAAAGGGGTAATCGGGAGAATCCACGAACCATGATCCGTGTACAATACTATATTCTGTAGATCTACTCCGTAGTTTGCCCCATACTATGAGATTGCAATGTCTGGAGTAAATAAATGCCTCCTAAGCTCTGTTTTCAAGATTATTTCATTTGCACCCCCCTTTATTGTGTAGGCTTCGTATTCCAGTCTAATCCGTAGAGTTCTATTTTCTATCTAGCAAATACCCCATAGCTGAGAAGGTAAAGTATCAGCTTGGGAAATAGTTTTGGAAGCATCCCTGCAAAACCCGGCCCCTCATTGCTGGTCGGGTTTTGGCGGGTGTAGAATAACAACCCTCACAACTTATTACCAAGATGTAAATGTACCTGCAGAGTAGATATTAATATTCTGCATTAGTTATATACATGCTTCCGGGTAGCTCTAGGATATAGGATATTGATTTACAGTGATAGGTTTACCCTATAGGTCGAAGCGTAACTCCCAAGCCGATCGAGCAAATCTCGCAAGTAAAATTTTATTATGAAGTACTCCGTACGACTAATATAACAATAATACTGGATACGGAGTGGACGGAGTAGACGGAGTGTAATGGTTGTAAATAAGCATAAAGACCCTAAAGACACCAAAATCATCCCGGATCAACACGACCACCTTCCTGATCCAACATAGTAACCAGATTTGTCCACAGACATAGACATGGTAAGGTGGATGAAATGAACAGAGTCACTAATTCCCATTTGGGTTAACAGTCAATGCCGTGTACGAAGTACGGAGTACATTGGATGGGAATGGCTACTCCGGACTGGCTCATCTGCATGCATACTGCAGTAGTGCCTGCATGGTTACGTGCCCTAATTAGCTCTCATTTCCCTTTTGGTGTAATGTACGGAGTACTCCCTAGCCACATGGGCCACAGGGATGATGATCCTTAGTGCAAGCCAATGCAAGCCCGATGCAAGCCCGCTGGAAATCGAGGAAATTAGAAAGGTGGGTTTAAAATTAATTACGTTGTATGTCAATGTCCTTGTTGGACTCGGTTGTGGACTCGGGTACGGAGTACAAAGTACCATGCATTGCATT